AAAGAATGTCCTTTCATTACAATAAAGCAAGTAAATCTATTTTAGTCAACACCAAGAATGAAATTATGAACACTAAAACTGGCCATAAGAGGTCGTCTATAAATACTGTGAAAGTATCAAAGTGCTCTGCCCATAGAGAAATGCACACAGCCTGTATTCAGAAACTGAGCGTTAAAATGAGCCGCTGGGACTTCTGTAACTATGTGATGTCACAACAAACCAGTTACCGCTGTCAGCCATGCCACAAACCCTGCCCACCTGGACCCACCATCCAACCTTGCAGAGTGTTTTCCTGAAATCTGCTATGTTTGTATTGGATCACTCAGAAATCAGTCGTGACCGACCTGTTGTTACCAGACCTCCAGAGAGAAGAAATAAATAAATGATCAAATAAATAAAAAAGTAATGCAGATTTTCACTGGCTCTGACAGTACAACAGAAAGACTGTGCTGTTGAAGGACACTATCTGTGGTACAAGATCATTTTGGCAGCTGCATTACGCTCATGCACGCAAGCACATGACAAGACGCAACAAATAACAATACATACAGTGTTTTATAGTGTATACATTCATAGTGTTTCTGTGGATCGTCTACTGGAAATATGACAGCAGTGATGAGCAGTGATTGGTGCGCAGTGGCAGATTTAGATACGGTCGACATGGGCAGTCGCCCAGGGTGGCATCTTGTTGGGGGGCAGCACGGGCGTTTTCCAAAATAAATTTTAAAAAAAAGAAAAAAGTATGTGTTTGTGCCATTGGTTTTCTGTCTCTCATTTGCACATCATGTCAATGATGTCGTGTCACCGTGGAGGTCAGAGTGGGCGCCGTGTCTAGTTTGTGCAGGCTTCTGCTTGCTGAGAAGGTCTCCTCTCTAACTCTCAGAGGTGGTGGTAGATGGGGAGGGGGGCAGAGGGTAGCTTGAGACGTCTCCACACTGGAGCGGGGGAATCTATCAAATAGCGCAATTCTATTGCTGTACATTACTAATGCAATTAGTAAAATCAGTCACACCATTAAAAAGCTGCCAAATAAACCACAATTCATTCAGAACACTATGAATACACACCTGTAGTTTCACAGTTTTCTGGGTTGTGTGAAATCGTCAAGAATAATAAACCAGTCTGCACACCACCACGTGTGTGTCTTATATAAGTGTGCGTGTGCATGTGTGTGTGTGTGTGTGTGTGTGTGTGTGCGTGTGTGTGTGTGTGTTCTTTCCATTCTTGTTTGTTAAGGTATCTACTTTTGGTATTTATGATTGAATTTTGGTACTAATTGATGACTTTGCATGAAGGAATGTAAGAATGGTCAGGCTTTAGATGACAGTTACGCAAATTAGAATGTGTGTGTCTTGTTTGAAGTTTGTAATAGTGTAATAAGTAGGTTCTCTTGTTAATGTATTTGTGAGATAAATGATTAGTAAGTAATTTGATTGTCTATGTTATTTGTGTGTGTATATATATATATATATATATATATATATGTATGTATTTATGTATATTCTGATGTGGGTATTCACCCAGAGCACCATACAAGCTAGAACCGCCACTGTTGACGGGGGTGTGCTGCACAGTCACATCTAATCGGAGGGCTGGGGAGCTGAAGGCTGTCTGCATGATTAGTTCTGCAGCAGCACGGTGGAGTATGAATCTGTCATTTAATCTTCCCAGATGTGGAGCTGGAGAATTAAAGACATTCACATTGGATTATGATACATATCTGTATCTGTACGAAGTGCTGCTGCTGCTGATGAAGAGGATAATGATGATGGCTGCCTCTCCTCTCTGCTCAGTGGAGCTGAAAAGCAGTTAAGCACCTGACATGCCGGGAATACTAATTCCTCACCATCAGGTGCTCTTTGTGGCTCTTCAGCATTTAGCATGTATAATATATGCTAATTTATACACCAGCCACTCCTGTGATATGAAGTGATGTAACCACGAACTGTTAAAGGATTTCAGCCAAGCTGCTTAGTGAGAGCCTGAACACAGATTTACTTTCATTTCATTTGACTTTAAAATGGGAAAATAAATCAATGTGCAGACATTCAGCTCTAATACAACACATAAATGTGCACATTTATATTAAACCACACTGGTAGAGTAGCGTAGTGTTTATACTTTATCCCTCATGTAGAAAAGAACAACAGTCACACTGCTGCTGCTAACTCATGTTGCCTAATGTCAGGTAAAAAGTTCAATATTTAAAATGAGTTTCTATGTTCACATCCTGGGTCTCACTTTATTTTGTTTGTTTATTCTGAGGGTCATAACAACACATCACACTTTTAAGTCAGGGATTCTCACAGGAAAACTCATGAGACATTTTAAATGGGCTGAATTTCCACCCAAGAAGAACAGATTTAGTAATTTAGAGAGAGAGAGAGAGAGAGAGAGAGAGAGAGAGAGAGAGAGAGAGAGAGAGAGGCTGTGGTCGAAAAAGTCAAAATAATCTCCTTTCCTAAGAACATCATGAGGTCAAGGAAAGAGAATTCATAAGGACTTGGGAAAAGACAATCGCGGAGGTGTGGAGGGAATCCGGCTGCACTTACACTAAGCTTTTTTTTTTTTAACTAACTTTACATGGAGGATAAATCCTCCGTTCCTAACCACAAAAACAATCAAACAGGAATGAAATGTTGAAATAAAATGATATGAAAGGAATATACAAATAGAAAAAGTTGAGCCGGTGAATAATAATTAAATAGAAATCAGGAACTGAGCAAGAGATCACAATAAATTATATTCAGATATAAGTTTATAGTTTCCTGTCATAGACGCTTCTGACATTTCTATACATTTGTTAAGTAGAGAAAATTCATTTTTAGCAAATTCCACAATGGGAGGGGATTTAGTGAAACAACATTTATGTATAGGCTATAGTATTTTGTTATGATGATGATATTGTTACCTACAATTTCAATATATTTGTTTTTCATGATGACTCCTGACTGAACAGATCTGAAAGAGAAGAAATTAATCAATGGATTTGGGCTTCAGTCGATCAGACAAGGATTTTCATCAGTTCTGGATCTTGTCACAAACATTAAACAGCTGCTCTGCTGTTTCTACATGTACGTGTGTCTGCCGAGGTGAAACTACAGTGATGCATCTCTCTCAATGTTGTGGTGGCAAAGGAATTGTGGGACGGCATTTGCTCCTTTCCATTTGTAAAGGAAGGTCCAGTGTTTCCTCTGCTAAAGGAGATAAGATAGGAAGCACTGACGCTCCTCTCCTTCTTATTTAGAGAATTTGACCAGCTCTTATCATGGCTGCTACTGAAATACTTCTGGGTCATTTCTCTGAGTTAGGAACCTTCCTAATCAAAAAAGACTTCAGACCGCAGCCAGAGACTGCAATCGCTCCTGAGAATGGAGCGTAATAAGACAGTGAGCGTGTCTTGAGAGAGACGTCCTGTTTTGCTCACTTGCTTTCAGTCCTCTAAACAATTTCAAGCAACTGAAGCATGTGGCGCAACTCTGAAGTCTGGAGACGTGATCAGTGAGGAGCGGTGCAGGTGGAGTGAGGACGAATAAAAGCACAGCTATCAGTTTCGCATATTCAGAACATGACTTACTGGGGCTCTGCAGTTGGGCTCCAACTAATAATCATTATTAACCTATTAATTATAAATGTAGTCTAAAGTAGGTCTGAGCAAGAAATCAAAAATGGAAATCACAATATGGCCAAGTGCAATTCCCAATTCACATGAGCTGCAATTTCATTTTGATGAAGGTAAAATGTGTCGCAACAACAGACGAATAAATGAATCATTGTGTTGCTACAGCGACGCCCCGACCCACAGATCATATTCTCCAGATGTAAAGGAACATGACTGTTTGTTACAAGACCCAAAAAATAAATAAATAAATTAATTAAAATCACATCATCATTTTTAGATTTTTTTCAGTGAAAATGAAAAATGACCATTCACACTGAAATCATGACTCATATCACAATATCTGCCAAAATAATCACCTAAAGCTGTGACAAATGTCCAATTATCATTATTACCCAAACTGACGTCTTGCCATTTGCTTATTTTGTCCGTAACAGACTCATCTCTGTGAACCTGTGTAGTCACTCCTGTCCATACTGGTCCATCTTGATCAATGTAAGTAATGGACATCAAAATGCATTCAACTGAAGCTAATCTGAGGCTTCAGCAGTCTGTGTTAATGCGTTTAATGCAGAATTTCCTCTGTGATTACATGATGAGGAACGGGAACACACAGAGACACAGAGGTTCTTACTGTTACTGCTGAAGCATAATAGTGATTAACTACAGAATTAAACGTTTTATTTTACCCTTTTGTGAATTTCAATTTAATCCTGAATAACAGGAAGTTTTCCTGGAAAGATCCATATTATCTTGGTAAAATACAGACAGATGAACACTGATATTTCTAAATGCTAAGCTCAGACAAACTGTTGCAGAGGCTGAGCTACAAATGCAGAATATGAAACGTGGAGCTCCTTATATCATGGTTATTCATCTGGATATCAATAATCAATCAACAGATTCTGAATGTTGTCTCTATATTTCCTCTGATTAAAGGACCAAACCACATAGTTCTCTCCAGGACCTGTGAGATGAAGCCTTACCTGAGGATCAGTTTGTCTCATGGGATCATTTCTCTCAGGTTTGGAGAGTTGGTTGGAGACAGTTGTGATGGACAATTTTTTTTTTTTTGTAGATAAACACTGATTAAATAATTGGTATATTAACTGATAATGAAAATAATTGTTAGTCGCAGCCTGAATTAAATTACTAAAGACATGAGCTCAACCAGAAGCACGAGTCTTTGAGTTTGAGACACCAAACGCACATACTGTCTCATTTACTGAGCTGGTCACTATTCTGCTGTAGTGAACCAACACTGCCATGTCACATCAAATTACAGTTTGAGTTACACATGACTTTTTTTATTGAAGTAGTTTATATATAAACCACCTAATTAATTTCTGCTACAGGAGGGTTTATTAAAAAGCTGTGTTACCTTCAGTGTCATAGATGCTCTGGAGGATGTCGTCAGTGTCCAGTCGGTCCTCTGGGAAGAACGGGTATACTTTAATGTTAAAGTCCGCCATCAGGTGAAAGACCCCCTCCAGAGTGAAGTAACAGTTCCGCTCCTGCTTGTCGTCCTCATAGACGAGCAGCGCGCTCTTCCAGGTGAAGTGCTCGAACATCGCCGTGAAGGTCTCTGCCATCTTCACGTAGGACGGGGCGATGCGGGTCAGCTGGGAGTATTCGGTGTTCTTGTTGCCGAAGCCGGCGGCCAGGGCACCTGCTGAGATCACCGGGATGTTCCAGTGCGACGCCAGCCTCACTACCGCCGCCGCCTCGTACTCGCACACCGGACCCAGAATCAGATCCGGCTTCTGCCCGCACGACCTGTCCACTAACAGAAACAGAGCATCATTGACACAGTCCGAGTTCTCAAAGTGGATGTTGAAGTGGAACCCGGAGAACTTCCCCCCGTCTGTCCGCAACCTCTGCTGTGCGTAAAGGATCGCCGGCGCGACTCTGGCGTGTGAAAAAAGGTAGGAGTTATTCTGTGGCAGCAGCACCAACACCTCTACGTCCTCGGTGATGGTGTTTGTCATACCTGGGCTCAGGAGCATCAAAAAGTACACGGACAGTGAGCTGAGATGTGGCATGTTGCGACTTCCCGAGCGCCCCCCTCAGATAAACCAGAGACAGTGTTGGAGAGATGTTCTTCAGTGTTTCTTTCCCCAAGTTCGCTCCACTTGGCAGCGTTCATACAACCGCACACAGAAAGCCCGCCGCCGAGTCAACGACTTACTGCTCACTAACTGTATTTGTCTGTTGTTAAAGCAGCGACTCTGCCTGAATGTGCGTGTGTTGTTCTGCACTCAGAGTTCCCTCGACGGCTCCTGAACCTGCTCTGGATTCTCACTCTGCCGTTCCTGCCAGGCTCGGAGGTCCTTCTAGCTCCGCCAGCAGCCACCACACACGCTGGCTCTGGCCTGGAGTTTTGAAGCATCTTCTCAGGATCACTCCTGCGTCATCGGAGCGCTGCCCACCTCCTTCTTAAAGCGACACCGCCGCAGAGCTCACAATGAGCCGCTTCAACACAGCCCGAGTCCGTGTAGGCAGAGGGAGTTATGGTTCTGTGAGTCTGAGACAACCTAAAGATACACAACCAACAGACACACAACCTACACATACACTAGCAACAGATACACAACCAACAGACACACAACCTACACATGCACAACCAGTAGTTACACAACCAACAGACACACAACCTACACATACACTACCAACAGATACACAACCAACAGATACACAACTGACAGATACACAACCAACAATACACAACCAACAGATACACAACTGACAGATACACAACCTACACATGCACAACCAACAGATACACAAATGACAGATACACAACCAACAACACACAACTGACAGATACACAACCGACAGATACACAACCTACACGTGCACAACCAGTAGTTACACAACCAACAGATACACAACCAACAGATTCACAACCAACAACACACAACTGACAGATACACAACCTACACGTACACAACCAACAGATACACAACTGACAGATACACAACCTACACATGCACAACCAGTAGTTACACAACCAACAGATACACAACCAACAGACACACAACCTACACATACACTAGCAACAGATACACAACCAACAGATACACAACCTACACATGCACAACCAGTAGTTACACAACCAACAGATACACAACTGACAAATACACAACCAACAACACACAACTGACAAATACACAACCAACAACACACAACTGACAGATACACAACCGACAGATTCACAACCTACACGTACACAACCAACAGATACACAAATGACAGATACACAACCTACACATACACAACCAACAGATACACAACTGACAGATACACAACCTACACATGCACAACCAGTAGTTACACAACCAGCAGATACACAACTGACAGATACACAACCTACACATACACAACCAACAACACACAACTGACAGATACACAACCGATAGATACACATCCAACAACACACAACTGACAGATGCACAACTGACAGATACACAACCAACAGATACACAAGTGACNACAGATACACACCCAACAGATACACAACCGACAGATACACAACCTACACGTACACAACCAACAGATACACAACTGACAGATACACAACCTACACATACACAACCAACAGATACACAACTGACAGATACACAACCTACACGTACACAACCAACAGATACACAACTGACAGATACACAACCTACACATACACAACCAACAGATACACAACCTACACATGCACAACCAACAACACACAACTGACAGATACACAACCGATAGATACACATCCAACAACACACAACTGACAGATGCACAACTGACAGATACACAACCAACAGATACACAACTGACAGATACACAACCAACAATACACAACTGACAGATACACAACTAACAGATACACAACCAACAGATACATAACCAACAGATACACAACCAACAGATACACAAGTGACAGATACACAACCTACACATACACAACCAACAGATACACAAATGACAGATACACATCCAACAACACACAACTGACAGATACACAACTGACAGATACACAACCTACACATACACAACTGACAGATACACAACCAACAAATACACAACCAACACATACACAACTAATACATACACAAACAGACACACAACAGACAAATACACAGCCAACACATACACAACCAACAGATATACAACCAATAGACACAAAACCGACAGATAGACAACAGACAGATGCATGCTCGACAAATACACAACCTACAGACACACGACCTACTGACACACAACCAGCAGATAATCAACTACCAAATACACAAGACAGACACACAATGAAAAGATACACGACCGACAGATACACAACCAACCAATACAGAGCCAACAGACACACCACCAACAGATAAACAATCTTCAGACCCACAACATATAGATAGACAACAGACAGATAAATACACAACCTATAGACACACAACCTACTGACAGACAACCAGCGGATAATCAACCAGCAGATAAGCAACTACCAGATACACAAAAGACAGACGCACAACCGACAGACACACAATGAAAAGATACACAACTGTCAGATGATCAACCATTTTATTATAAACCACAATTAAAAACCCAACAGATACGCTACCAACACATACACAACCGACACATACACAACCACCACATAAAAAACTAACACATACACAACCGACACATACACAACCACCACATACACAACCACCACATAAAAAACTAACAGATACACAACAAACACATACACACCCAACATCATTTACTATATATTTACTGCAAATATGATTGACCCATGGTGAAATTGTCGGTATTTTCATGGCATGTACAACGCATCAATGAAGTAAATTCTTTAGCTGCCTGGAAATTTTAAAGAAGAAAAATGTAGATATTGCATTGTTACAAGAAACTCACTTATTACAGCAAGACATATGTAAACTAGACAATGTGAACTATAAGGTAGTAGCACATTCTTCAGTTGATAATGTGTTCGTTTCGTTCAAATCTTAAGTTTAGTATTATAAAAAGAGGAAAGGACAAAGAGGGAAGGGTATATGTGAAAACAGTCATTAGCGATGTTAAAATGGCACTTATTTCAGTGTATGCTCCCAATACATATTATTTTTCTCCTCCTTATCCACAACTATTAATGCCATTAAAGGATTTATAAGAAATAATTCCAATTCATTTGTGTTTGGTCAAAATAGAGCACGATTAAAAGAAATCACCAATATGGAATATGTTCTGGCATCACTTATCCGCCAACAACACAAACTTGAAACAACGAGAAAAAGAAATAGCTATGGTTAAACTAATTAAAATAGTATCCTAGGAAAAACGTTAGAGTTCTTAATTCACAGAGCAAGGCGAACCCATTACCTCGATGGGAGTAAACCAAGCTTTTTACTGGCTAGCAAATTACGTAATAATGACTGCTATGACTGCTGTGCCAATTATAAAATGTTATGTAATTCTATTAGTAGATGGTCCAACCAAAAATTGTTATTATGCAGTCGTATATCAAAGATTAATTTTATATCCAGCATGCTCCCTTTATCTACACCTCCCCGATCTTTGTAATAGGTTACAGAGCCTTGTGTCTAAATTTATCTGGAGAGTGGTGCGACCTAGGTTGAAAAGCTCAATTCAAACAGAACAAACAACAAGGAGGAGGATTTGGTTTACTTAATTTTGAGTTATATTATATACATTTTATGATCTACCCCCTTTAGAGGTGGTTCTCCCAGGAACAAGACACACCATGGCTCCAGAATGAGCGCAGCATGGTAACTCCTTTCAAATTGGATGAAATTCTGTTGTGTGGTTTATCACGCAAGCATTGCCAGGAAAAAATTCGGACCTATTACACCATGCAAACATGGCAGCGGGCTGAAAAACTGGGGGGCTGGGATGTGAAATGACATACCCAATTTTCCTAAACAAGTTACTTTGTTCAGGAAGTAAACCCTCGATCACACATGGTCTAAAGGTGCTATTCATATTCTTTCCCACATCACTAATAATGAAGGTTTAAGGTCTTTTGAAGATCTCAGGAAAAATAAGTTCAATTTACCATCAACTTCCTTTTTTTTATCTACAGCTAAAGTCAGTCATTCAGGCCCAAGGAGTTCCATTGAAAAATGCACTCCCCACACATCCACTCCTTAATTGTATGATTACTAAACCCAACAGTGAGGGCTTTGTTTCTAAAATGTATAAGGAGCTCCAGGAGTCTACATGTCTGTCAATGAGTGTGACCAAGGTTTGGAATGTTGATTTAAAGTATTGGCAATTAATTGGAAGGAACTTTGGGAAAATGTTGCCCTTTCATCCTGAAATTTGAATTATCAAATGATCAAATACAAATTTGTCCATAGATTTTATTTGACTCCCAGGAAACGCTTCCAATCCCAGCTTTGTCCCTCACCCATTTGTACACTATATAATAAAAATGAAGTGGGAACTTATTGACATACGATGTGGGACTGCCCTGATGTGAAGCATTTCTGGTCTAGAGTGGCACATGTGTTATCAGATGTAACCGCAATTTGTATTCGTAGTTCACCTAATGTTCTACTTCTAAATGATGACTCAGCAATTAACATTACAAAACCACAGAGGAGATTTCTACTTCTGGGTCTGATGGCATCATCAAAAAAGATGCTGGTATTAAGATGCTGGTATCCCCATAAACTTCAGAACTCCCAATCTCATTTTTAAACATTATTTCTCTGCAGCTTTCTGTAGCCTGATGCAATGGTGCAAAAAGAAATAGAATTGTGCTGTCCAAAGCAGTGGAAGAAGTTGAATTAAAGTACATAACCTAGTCTGAGTATTGGAGGGGAAATAAAAAACCCTTTGTCAGGCGGCTGATAATTGCCATAATGTAAATGAATAAATGAGAGCAGCATGTTTGTAAGTTATGTTAAAAGAATCCATGTCTAACATTATAGATGTATGCTAGAACTCATGTTCCTTTTTTGCTGCTGTTTTTTTTTTTCCTTTTTCAACCCTCAAAACTGGGAGCAAAATAATAATAAAAATTTGATCACAAAAAAAAACCCAAAAGATACACTACCGACAGATACACAACCAACACAAACACAACTGTCAGATATACAACCAACAGACAGAGTTACCGAAACGGTCTCATGGATATATAGGTTACTGAAGTTCAATAAAGAGTGTAAATACATTGTACAGGATTATAACATTACACAGTGAACTTAGGTTGGTAGCAACTTATTATATTGATGATGAATCTTTATGTTATTATCTCTGCCATGCACAGTAAGCAGCAGCACAAGGATGATTTTGCAAAACTTCTGGTGGACAGATCTGCATATTAACAT